CAAAACAAAGTTGTATATTTTGGTATTGAAAATTAAGAAATTATTTTAAATAATCTTATTTTTTTTCCAAAAAAGAGATATTAAAGTCCATAAAATATATTTATTAAATGTTTACTGAGATGTAGGCAAAATAAATTGAAAAATCTGCGAATGTAGAAATTTAAATGTTATTTATTTTTGCTAAAATTTTTATGTACGATTTTATGCAAGTATGTATGTTTAGAAAGAGTGGTGAAAGTGGTTGGAGTTCCAATTCTTATACAAAAATTCTACAAATACATTCTTAGAGTTAGGTACCGAATGACAACTCCTTTAGGCACCAACTGACAAGCCCCAATTTCTTTATATTCTTTGACACTAATCATCAAATTCTAACGGGTATTTTTTGAGAAAATTTTGTATTTACCGCAAAATGAAGTCCTTTCTATTATTTTTTTCTACCACTGTATATTTCCTGTAAAAACAACTAGAAAGAACAATTTTCTGCATATTTGAATGGATTTTTTACAACTTACATTTTACATACTTATAAAATATAGTACACACATGTTTACATATAATATGTATAATATTTCCTATATAAAACTCGAACGTTTTTTTCTAAGCATATACTTTTTAATGCAACTTACACCTTTTTTTGTTCTCCTGATACAATCAACACGAATAAATACAAATTTTTATTATCCACAAAAAAAAAATTCACCTACTCACAAATTAAATTTTTATTTGATGTAAAAACTTAATTGCATCTTCACATATATTTTCTAATTATATTATCCAATTATGTATATTACCTTTTACAATCAATACAAATAAATACATTTTAATGCTCCACATAAAAATTAAACAATAATTTAATATACATTAGTTGTGTTTTGTTGTTAACGTTCAAAGGCAATTTCATATAAATTTAAAATTTATAAACGTTAGGAGTTAACGTATAAAATTATACAAGTTAATTTTAACGTCGATAAAAGTGCTACCAATTCAAAAATAAAAATACAAATATTAATCTGTTTATGTCAAACAATAAAAAAATATTTTAAAATAAAATTTAAATCAATAAAAATTACCAAATAAAAAAACCTTTTCAAGAAATTGTAAATAATTTCAAGATTTAGCAGATTTCTTCTGTGGAGTGATGCCAAGTCAGGTAATGTACGTTTTGTTACTTACTTTAAGCGTTAACACTCTTTGATAGCAACAAAACACAACTATTATACTTTTATATACATTTTTCATACATTCCTCACATTTAATAATCTTTCAATTCCAACATAAAATGTAAAATTGTATACCATAAATAATTTCCTATATTAAATAATATTTAATTATACCCTCCACCACCATGAGTGGCGATAGAGGGTATATACATATATGTAAGTTTGTCATTCCGTGTGTAACACCAAGAAATATTCATCTGAGACCCAACAAAGTATATATATTCTTGGTCCGTCTGTCTGTGTAAAACACGCTCACGTAAAAACGAAGTAAAATAAATTATTGAAATTTGGGCAGAATATTCCCTTTTGTCCCAGGCAGTTTGGTATTGAAAACGAATCGGTTCACATCGGGAAAAGTTATGAATCAAAATTTAAAACAACTCCGAAAAGTAAGCATTTTTACACATTCTGATGTAATTTTCTCGAAAACTATGCAATATAATTCAATGAAAATCATCATACTTTCGTTTTTACACGAGAGCTTTATTCCTGTTTCGGTCCACAATTTCTTATACCTCCCATACAAAAATACAATTTCCCGGAAAATAAGTTTATTGTTAATAACTTCCGTCAGAATGTTGACATCTTCACAAAATTTTACAAAGTAAAACTCTATGTTAATAGAATTCATTTAGAGAAAAAATTTTCTGGATCGGTCCATAATTGGACATAGCTCCCATACAAGGTCCCCTCCCGAAAATCACTTAAACACACATAACTCATTACTAAATTAAGATATCCATATAAAAGTTGGTACAAGTATTGCTCTTATATACAGAAATATTGCTATAATTTTTTTCCGATCGGTTAATAATTGGTCATAGCTCCCATACAAGGTCCCCTTCAGAAAAACACTTAAAGGCACACAACTCATTACCAAATAGTGAAATCCATAAAAATTTTGTCATAAATACTATTTTTGTGCACAGAAATATTATTTCAAAATTTGTTCACGATCGGTTCATAGTTGGTCATAGCTCCTATACAAGGTTCCCTTCCGAAAATCACTTAAACGCACATAACTCATTACTAAATATTGATATCGAACATTTAGCACAAGTATTGCTCTTATATACATGAATCACACTATACATTTTTTTTCACGATCGGTCCATATTTGGTCATAGCTCCCATTCAAAGTCTCCTCCAGAAAATCACTTGAATGTATGTACAATATTCATTACCAAGTAATGATATAGATACAGAATTTAACCAAAATTTTGTCTTCATATACATTAATGTTACAGTGGAATTTTTTACGATCGGACCATAATTGGTCATAGCTTCCATACAAGGCCCTCTTACGAAAATCTCTTAAACGCACAGTACTCATTATCAAATAAAGCTATTGATACAAAATTTTGCACAAATATTAGTTTTGTATACAAAAATTATATTTTAAGATTTTTTCACGATCGGTTCATAATATGGGTGCGATCGGTCCCATACAAGGTTCCCTTCCGATAATCAGTTAAACACACATTTCTTATTACTAAATTACGATATAGATACAAAATTTGGTTGAAATATAGCTTTTATATACAGGTCCTGCCCGAAAATTTGAACTTCCTTAAATCTTTTACACAAATTATTAAATATCGCTAAATCATATCTTAAGGCGCTTTAAAAATATAAAAAAAATGGCGTTTGTAATGTTAAATAAATCTTGCAATTGGAACTGATTTAAGCAGTTTAAATCTTGGGCGTTTTCTATTTAAGACATGAGAAAACTTATTTCTACAAATATTTGATCAATTAAAAAAGTATTATTGTAAAAGTAGCTGGTGGAGGGTATTTAAGATTCGGCTCAGCCGAATATAGCAATCTAACTTGTTTTTGTACTCAAAATATTACAACCTCATAGTCGCGAATATCGTTTTATTTAGTTGTTTCGTTGTCACATATATTCTCTGCTTGCGCACATTTCAAGTTAGATTGCCTGCATGGCTTAAATATTTTTTACTTCGAAAAATTTGTGTAGGAAAATATTTTGATATTATAGGCAAGCAATTTAAAATATATGTGGATATTATAAATATGTTAGCGATTTACTGCGAAATATATTGCATATAAAAAAATTTTATATATGTCTGTAAGCTGCAATAGCTTGTATGGTTAAATATTTTTTGCAAAAATACAAAAAATATTTTGAATGGAAGCAATTAAATATATTATTTGCATAAAATATGTTTATAATTTAATATTGTATACATATGCATATGAGAAAATGTGCATTTTGTTTACTAGTAATTTTAATGTCAGGAAATTATACTGAACACTGCAAACATGTCAATCCCGCTCGCTTCCAAGCAGCTCATCTCAGCACTTTCAGCACATTTACGGTCGTTATCTACCAAAAATACGCTATTTAACTGAATCTTTGTCCTCTGATTTTTTTACTAAAGTATTTAAGAGCTTATTTTGATAGACATACGTATCCATTTCTGCATTCAATATCAATATAGGACCAACAGCACGCCAAGAAAATGCAATGAATATCATCAAATTTCCCCCATTGTGATATATGATTTCTCTGGAACACTTAAACTTTATCTGCATGATTGGAGGATACTAGTTAAAATTTAATAGGATAAAATTTGATGGAAAAATGTATTTTTGCTGTACTCCAAACATGCAGCAACATCCAAAGTCTACGTTTAAAATCATAAAATACAGTGGATGAAATATGACGAATCGGTTGCGTTTTTCGGGCGTATTGGTGGATCTATACACATAGTAGATGCACAAATGGATCAGTATGACTATCAAATATGCTCTTAAATACATTAGTAAAAAATTATGGGACAAAAGTTCAGTTTAATGGCATTTTTTGGTCTACAACGACCCAAAATGTGTTAAAGTACAGAGAGGAGCTGCTTGGAAGCGGGCGGAATTGACATGTTTACAGTGCCCAATAGAATTTCTCGATCCCAATTCAATTGAAATGATAAATAAAATGAAATAAAATGGAGCAAAAAAATTAAATGGTATGGGTCAACAAATAAAAACAGAAATTTCTAAGATTTTTGTTAATTTATGGGCTGAAAATTAAAATTTATGTCATGAAATTTCTAGTATTATATTATCAAAATGTGCAACTATTCTACATAATATAAAATTTTAAGTGAAATTAGATAATTTTATCCGGTTGCTTTGCTTTATTTTTAATTTTTTAATGATTTTTTTATTCTGGGCTAAATTTATGTCCAGATATTTTTGAAAAGAAAAAAATCTATATTGAACAAAGTAGTGGAACAAAATATATTATGTCGTGATCCTCGAAGGACATGTGTTACGCATAAAAAATAATTAGTTAAAAAAGTTAAGAACTATAGGAAATATTTGATTTCACATTTAACAGATTTAAAATGTGCTAGCCTCATGGCCGCCACTGTATATTAGTAGATTCAATTTAATGAATGATGCCGTGTTAAATATTATATACATATCAAAAAATATATTCTCTGTGTACTAAACACTTACATCTACTTATGTATTCTTATGTATGTATGTATAAATTTCTTTTCAATAAGTAGTCAATAACTTATATCTAATACATCAGTCAGATTGCATGACAAATAATTGGACGTTTTTTATTTATTTGTAATATTGAATTGGCGTTTAGCACGAATGGTAGTTCAGTGAACGTTTACAAAATTCAATAATTTTTATTTCTGTATACCTTACAATAAATTTAGTGTTAAAACTTACTCTTAAGAAAACAGTCAGTTCTCTTCGACTTTAAAACGTTCAAATACTTATTTAAAAATCATGTCAAATAATTTATTTTTTTTAAGTTTGGCTGATATATTTTCTGTATATCCGCAAATATTTAATGAATTAATTGCAGATCAAGAACATTTTGCTCAAATATATTTACCAAGTGATATCGAATGGCAGGATAAAATGTATTATATGTTACTGGAAGTACAAAAAAATGTAAACGAGGCTCTGGAAAGTGGCAAGTGAGTATACGTAGTTATATTATTCATAAGGCGTTAAAAGTCACCATAAATATCGTGTGTGTTAAGCGAGATATTGGCAGTCAATGGTCACAAAAATATGTTTTGTATGTGGACATACTCTCTATAGATTATGTCCACTAATCAGAAAAATATTTCCACTAAATTTTATTGAAATCAGACTACGACTTCAAGTAGCTCTAATATTTGTTTCCAATATTAATGTATACCGTAGTGTTTCTACTTAATTGAAAATTCAAAAATTGATACAAAATAATAAAATATATAGTCTTATTTTAATCAAATTTGGTGGAAATCATTGACAAATTTGTTATAGGTACCGAAAATTGGGAAAAGGGCGAAAAACTGGGAAAATCGGTACTTTTGTGCTTGAAAACTGATGTTTGTATATTCTGACGCGAAATTGTTTTCGATTTAGCTATCTAAAGTGTAAGAAATTTTTATTAGCAAAGTTCCGTGGCGAAATTTTGACCAAAACGGGTAAAAAAGGAGGGAAATGATGAAAAATGGGCAAAATAACTGTTATGTCCTTAAAAAGTGATTTTTGTCTGTTCTAAAGCTAAATACGTTTGATTTAGCTTTTAAAGTGTCAGAAATATGTATTGGGGAAAAAAATCAGAAAGGGACGACGAAATACGAAACGCGGTAAAATTATTATTTTTTTAAATGAAAAAACAAAAGTAATTTCTACTTATATATTTAAAATTTTAAATATTAATCCTAATTTCCTAATTGTTTGTTTATTTGTTTGTTCGTCAATCAAAAGCATTTTCGATTAAACTACTTAATTTGTTAGAAATATATATTAGCAAAGTGCCGTTGCGAAAATTGGACCGGAAGGGGACAGAAAAATGGGCCAGATGGCGAAAATCTGACAAAATTAGTACTTTTGTGCTTTAAGGATGATTTTTTTCTATTCTAAAGCTAAAATATTATAAACTATGATTTTGATAGTCTCAGACATATGTACATATATTTAGAAATCACAAAATTCAAACTACTTTAATGAATAAATAAAACAAATAAATAAATAAACAAGTAAAAATTTATAGTTGGGCATGGCCGACCATATGATGCCCTACACCAGTGATTATGTTACGAATGTTGATTACTTTTTTAATAATAAAGCATTTAAATTAATTTTTACCTTAATTCAGAAATATTTTAATTATTCTTATAAATTTTGGTAAAGTGATTTACATCTACATTAAATTTATTTATGTAGAATATAGCCGTAATATCTGTGTTTAAGGGCACTTTATATGGGAGATATGATCAAATGAGGGCCGATCATTACGAAAATCAGCAGTGTCATTAAAACTTATATAAAATTAAGTTTTGCTTTTTTGGTGTGATACAAGAACATTTAACATATTTATGACCTCAAAAGCTATATTCAGGGGTGCGATGGTATGGGGGATATGCGAAATAATGGTCCCATTTTAACTATTGTAAATAGGATTCGTCCTTGCAAGAGTATGTGCCAAATTTCATCAAAATCTTACAAATTGCGACTTGTAGCGTGCGCATAATGTTTTTAATTACACTTTAACGGCTGGAACGAATTTCGTTAAATTCGAAACATAGTTAGATATATAAGTAGGTGTATGGTGTGATAGGCTATATTGTTTTCCAAAACTTGGATAAGAAGGATCAACAAGTGGTATGTGGATGAAAAAGGGACAAAATTCGTACTTTTGGGAGTAAATACTAGAGCCCTGCATGAGTGACTTAAATAATAAATTAAAACATTTGATTTTTTTCAAACACTGTGTTTGACTCACTCATTGTTTTATGAATGAAATGAATAGTATATTTGAAAATAAGGAATGTTAGTCAATACTCAATTCAAACGAAACAAGTAATGAGAGTGTTTGTGTGATTCAATTCAAGTAGTATACAGTGAGTGAATCGAGTGAAAGCAAAACAATTTTTAAGTTCGACAAATTAACAGATTTTTTGAATATTACTTCGAATTTTCGAACTTAATTTCGAATAGTCGAAGATAATATAGTAGCGTCATCAACTGTACTTAACACTGCCAAATTTCAGCCAATTTGGTCCACGGAAACTGGTTTTATCAGCTTTAAATTTTTTTCGAACATGAGTTCGAATTTTCGAAAATTTTTTTTTTAGTTTTTTGGACTCAAAGAATAATTAAAAAGCATAAAAAATTTTTCGAACATAACTTCGAATTTTCGAACTTAATTTCGAATATTCGAACATAATATTATCTTGTCATCAATTGTACTCAAGACTACCAAATTTCAGCGAATTCGGGCCACAGGAACTAGTTTTAACAGCATTCAAAATTTTCACCATTTATTCAAGAAAAAGTTTGAATCGATTCATTCGATTCAAACAATCTATTTTGTATTGTTTTAACATAAACAAATTGTTTACTCGCTCGATTTGAATGTAGTTGCACATTCACTTGATAGTACTCACAACGTTTGAGTATAACAAAACTTTGTAAATACTATTCTAAACCAGAGGAGCGCAAGATTGCCATTACATAGCACGCGTGATAGGATAAAAAAATTCTGCTGACGCTAAGTTGATACACATACACTATAGGTTTAATTCTTCTTCTTTTTATAATGAGCAATATCAGTTGGCTTGCTCTCAACTTGAAAAACAAAATCAAATCAGTTGCTGATCAGCACTTGTCGAAGCAAGGTCTGTACGTGACGTTTTTAAAATACACACAGAAATACAACAACAAAGTTTTGAGAAAGCCGAATTAATGTAGGAGAACATGAGAGAACAGTTGATAGTTTTTTATATATAGACTTTGATATACGCTGGCTGTCAAAATCCATAATAAATATTTGAAGTTAGTATATACTTTATAGTTTATAGTCATTTTATTAGTATACTTTTATTTTGAATTGAATTCTGTTCTCTGCTGCGTTACCAACACAAATAAAACAATGGTAATCTATGGTAGTATGTGTTTGAGCAACACTGTTCTAAACAAACAATGAGTTGAGTGCAAAGCAATGAGTCACTCATTGTGTGTAGCAAATAGAGTTACTCATGCAGGGCTCTAGTAAATACTAATTATTGTCTATACTCAAGCAAAAACATTTCTGATTAAGCTTTTAAAGTGTCTGAAATATTATTATTATGTAGCAAAGTTACTTTTCGAAATAGGAGAAAAAGCAAAAAAAAACAGGAAAAATTTGTACTTCTATGTTTTAAGTCCGATTTTTTATTGTTCTAAAGTATAAATATTTTAGACGATGAGTTTTTAGTTTCAGAAATATGTGTATTAGAAAGTCCACCCCTATAGGGAAAACAGGCTAATTATGTGTTCCTTTGCTACATTTTTTGTACTTTCACGAAATTTGAGAAATATGTATATATTTTTTATTAATATTTTTCCGTAATCGGTCAAAAAATGTGTTTTTCAAAAATGTTTTTACAAAACATCATTAAAGAGGGAAAGGTTCCTATCTGACGTAATTTTCTTAATAAATGTTCTACAACATCGATTTCTGAAATACAAAATATATTAAACAAAATACATACATTTGAATAATTCAATGGAGAAAAAGGGTATGGGTAGTATTTTTGCTACTGTGTTAGTACCTTTTGTAAATATTGTTCAAATTCAATGAAATTTCCTTTATAGCTTTATAAGATCACAGAAATTGTAAGGAGTTTCTTCATAAGGAGACCTTCAGCATTTTTTGAAACATGAAAAAATTAGCAAATTTTTTAGTTTACTCTGACGGGAGAATACTAAAGTATAATGTTATGAAACCCCGGGCAACGCCGGGTACAAAAATCTAGTATGTATATATTTTAAAGAAATCATATTTTTCATCATATTATGCATTTTCTTGCAATTACCTGAAACTTTTCAAAATTGCATACATGTCAACTTACCACAAAACTGAAATATCGAACGAAATTCGCGTATTTATTTTGATTATTTATCAATAATTTAGTTGATTTTATTTTAATATTCTTTTTAGTTTCTTTATGTTGTTTAATTATTTTTATCTTTGATGTTTTTTTCAAATGTTTGTATCAAAGAATATAAAGAAATCGGGGCTTGTCAGTTGGTACGCAAAGGAGTTGTCATTCGTTACCTAACTCTAAGTATGTATTGGTAGAACTTTTGTATTAGTATTGGAGCTCCAACCACTTTCACCACACTTTCCAAACATACATACTTGCATAAAATCGTACATAAAAATTTTAGGAAAAATAAATAACATTTAAATTTCTACATTCGCAGATTTTTTAATTTATTTTGCCCACATCATATCAGTAAACATTTAATAAATATATTTTTCGGACTTAAAATCTCTTTTTTTTGCAAAAAAATAAGTTTATTTTAAATAATTTTTTCATTTTCAATACCAAAATATACAACTTTGTTTTGTCAATTTTAATTTCAACACACAAAAATTAATTGTCAAAAAAATTAAAAAAAATATTTTTTTAGTTTGTGAAAAATAAAAATATTTCGGATTGTTAAATGCGATAAAATTGTGTAAAAAATTTAAAAATAGTTATGTGTTTGTGAAAAAACGTCGTTCAAGTCCTATTATTCCGGTATTTTCGCGAAAATGTTTTGAAGTATTGTGAGAGAATTGAGTTCTCACAAGTGTGTTGAATTTACACAGAACACGTCTGTGAAGAGAAGGAAATGTTATTGTTGTAAAACAATGTCATAGTCCAACTTCTTATTATTCTTTGGTTTGTATTTTCTTAATTTTTTTATTTGAAACAAAATAATATAAAACGATATTATAATAATATCGTTTTAAATAATGAAATATATCATAATCGCCCTTACAAGGTAATACCGTGTTCGCTATCATATCGTTCTTTGGTTTATACAAAAATAAGATTTTTATTGTATGCTAACCCTGCTTTAAGCCAAAATAAGTTGATTTGAACAAATGATGGCCAAAATCATTTTATTTTCCTTTTTCATAGTGTATATGTAGCAAAAAACTATTAAA